TCTGAAGACGGGATTTAGCAGATTCAGTTGCGCCGCCGCCGCCAAGACCGACGACAACGTAGAGACCGCGGGAGTCGTCGAGACCAGCCATGACGAGCTCGCTGCCCTTATTCTTGCCCTTTGTGCCGTTGAGTTCGACGATGGCTTCGGCGATCCAAAGGGCGAGTTTGGTGAGGGCGCCCGGGTGGGTGAATAGTTGCACATCGGGACCTTCTTTTACGACGGCCATGCGGAAGGCGCGGAGATGGCGAATTTGTTTCTTTTCGATTAAGGCGGTTCCGGTGCGCAGGATGGCGCGGTGGAGGTGTTGGGCTGTGCTGATGTGCTCGACGAGGCGGTCGATGTCGCCGAGGGCGTCGTAGGCGGTCCAGAAGCGGCTGGTGATGTGTTCTTGGGCGAGGTCTTGTTGTTCTTGCGTGGAGGAGGGCATCTCGGTGTGGTCGTTGGCTCCGACGAAGTTTGAGCTGTCGAGGGCGGATTGGTTGAGGTTCTTTGCGTCGCCGACTTCGAGGATGGCTCCTAGGATTACGCCGGCGTCGATGGCGGAGAGACATGCTTTCCAGCCCCAGCAGCGGACGAAACCCCAGCCGTCTTTGGGGTCGCCTGTACCTGACTTTGGTGGTACGAGGCCATCGAGCCCATATTGTGGCGCGAACTTGAGGAGGCGTTCTCGGAGACCACGCTTGAGCTCCATGTCCATGTGAGTGTATCTTTGCTTGCACTCAGTGAGTGAAACACCCATCTTGGCAAGGAGTTTGGCAAGTCGCTTTTGCCCTGCATCACTCCAGATGTGTAGTTTGGCGGAGAGGTAGGGCGAGTGGAGCATACTTTCGTAGAGAGACCAGTGCCGGAGGAGAAGGAAACGCGGCTCGGGGGAGAGGCGGATTGACTTGTCTGTCGCTGAGAGCGCGCTTGTCGGGATGACACCCCACACTTCGCCCATCGTTGCATTGCGGGAGACACTTGAAGCGTCTGTGACAGGATTCAGTCGTCGTACTTCGTCTCGCAGGACGGAGCGTATGTTCTCTCCGCGGTTACCGTTCCATCCCGCCGAACCTCCTTGTGCTGAGAGGGGGTTCAAGCCAACACCGCTTCCTGTCCGCCCGTATAGTTCCAGACTGCTGACACCAACGATAGCATTCCATAGCAGATCGTTGTCTTCGCGACCGAGTTCCGATGCTAAGTTGTATACGAGAGAAGAGACGGGGTCTGAGTAGGAAGTGCCGAGTCCGTAGTATTTGTCGAGCGTAGATGCGTACTTGTTCCGCTTCTTGATCAACTGCCTTCGTAGGCTCTTCAACGACTTCTCTTTCGGTGCGGCTACTGATGGGGATGCGGAGCGGCTGCGGGAGTCTGAACGAGAAAAGTCGGAGGAGCCGCCTAGTTGTTGCGCTGCTAGTAGACCTCTTCGTCGTCTCGGTTCGGGTGACGATGGTATTGAGCCTCCCTGGACAATGTTAGCATGGGATCCCTCTGAACATCGACTATACATACCGAATTACTCCTCCGTCTTTGTGCTGGCCGTTCATCATCTGTCATGTCGTCCTCGGAGTCGTCTTCCTCGCCCCAAGACTTCCTTTTCTTCGGTGCTTGTCCAGATGGCGGCTCCTCATCATCCTGGTCGTCCGAGTCGTCGCTGATGTCGTCTTCCTCCCCTACCTCTGGCATCTCCTCAAGCCCAGCATATGCTTCACGCTCTGCCTGTAGTTCTTCGTCAATGTCACCGTCGTCAAAGACTATGATTCCACCTCTTGACGACTGGTATGACTGCGTGATCTTGCCCTTGTCCACCCCCGCTTGTCTCCGCACAAACTCTCCCGTTGCGGGGTCCTGACTTATGGGGGCGGCGAAAACATTGGTCAGGTTCCACGGCCGTCTCGCGTCCAAGAGCCAGACTTCAACATCGCCAGTACCGCCCTCTCCATCTTCATCCACATCGAGGCCTAGTATCTCCTCCATGTCCACCATGCCTCCGACGCCCAGACATATTACGACGCCTCCACTTCCGCCGTCTGTTGTCCGCATCGGCCGTACCAGCTCTTCTGCCGCTCGTGATAGGTCGCCATATCCGGCTATCGGTTGGATCTTATGTTGTATGTAGTCGCGCTTCAATAACGCGGTAAGGATTCGGCAGGCACAAAGCGCGTCTGGTTCAAGGGCGACAAGGAGTAAAACGGGCGGTGCGGCGGCATGTGTGCGTTTTATGAGGTTCTGGTATAGGTGGGCTATGAGGTTTCGCGGAAGGTACATGGCGGCGGCGGTAGAGTGGTTTGCCCTGCGTGCGGGTGTCGAGAAAACGCGCTGCGAGACGCGTCGGGAGGATTTGAGAGGGGCTGGTGGGGCGGCGTGAAGCTTATGGTATGCTCTGCATTGGCGGGGCGAAGAATAGAAGACGTGATTAAAATAAAGAGTATGGCAGAAGGGCAATTGGCATGCGTGGGTGCGGGTGCTTGCACAGCTCGTATGCGTGTGGTATCGAGGATGCCCGAGACGCGTTCGGCGCTAGCCGCGGAAATGGCTTCGCTCGGACGCGCCTCTGACGTGAACATTCACCCTCATCTCGATTCCGATCGCGACTCATCTTCGACAGATACAAGGTTCGTGACATGACAAGAGAGCAGTAAAATATTTGAGTTACCATCTACATTGTTTCCTTTCGCTTTCTGGCGCGTCCTTTTTCTCAGCTTACGCCTATGTCCGAGAGGACTGACGCAGTCCGACATCCGCCGCCGCCTGTAAGTAGTCCTTCCATTTAGCATATACCCAGAGCATGTATTCCGCTTCGTCCATCGCAATGCTCTATGAGCAATATCGATCATGCAATCAAAACTTTTCCTCCTGTTCATCACATTTCACCTTCCGTCATGCTACCGGTCATCGTCAAACCCCAGTTAATCCCGTCACCCTCATCCTTTCTCAGATCTCCAGGCTCATTGCCTTAGTTGAAACCGAAATGCCACTCTGGCTCTTGCTTGACAATCGGAATGTATGTTTTCTGGCTCCAATCGGCTTGACCTTGAGGATGAAGTACGCCGTTGGCATCCAAGCGACCAGCAATGCCAGATTCCACATCGCCGCCGCGATGATCGACCCCACCTTCACTCTTGATACGCATGGGCTCCAGCTGCACCAAGCATGGTACAATGTCGTAACGCTCGTCAAGCTTCTCTCCACGGGCATCACCCCACTTGGTAAGACCGGGATTGACCACGAATGCCACCACTCCATCGTTGATGTCATCGCCTTCGCGATCAGGTACAGATGTCATCTCGCCCTCGGCAAACATGCATCCGGTGGAAGGGTAGGTGATCTGAAGGCGGCACCGTTGGAGTGACATTTGCACAGCCAATGCGAAGGCTTTGTCGACAATGCTATGCACTTGAGAGCTATTGCTTCCAGGGAACATCTGCTTGAGGAAACTCTCCCATTCGCTTGCCAACTCCTTGCTAGCATCGATACGTGCTGTCTTGATACGTTTGGATGTTGGTTCCAAAGTGTCATCATTGCGGACGACTGCGTTTGCTGATTCGCGTAGGTATTCCGCTGTGCTGCGGCGCCAATTCTCGCACACGACTGACGGCGAGGGCCAATCATGATTGTGATCGCTCCCGAACAGCTCATGCCAGGCTTCGTTCACGCGCTCCACGTTGTTTCCGAAGACCGCGAAAGGGTTACGGAAGACAGTCTTGACGAGGAGAGCCCATGTCCAAGCTTCAAGGAAAGTCTTCTTCCGAGCTCGGCTCTGCCAGTGATGCAATGAAACATCGTTCAGAAAGAGTGCCGAGTCTACAAGTTTTGAGACATCAATGTTCTCTGTAGACTGAAACGAACGACTGAAAGTCTTGACTGAGGAAGCGAGCACCTGGAAATCTCGCTCGAATTGGCTGTCAGAGACGACTCGTACCTGCTCGATTCTACCTAGAGCGTCTTGCTGGAGATCTGTGACTTGCTTACGAAGGCCGGCACACTCAGCCTGCAGGTTGTTCATTTCCTGATGCGCAGTCTGGCTGCGGCCTTCTACGTCGGAGTTGCTCTTCTGTAACTTTTTCACTTCGTCACGCAAGACTTCCGTTTCCATAGCGTCTCGTGATAAAGGTCCCAGAACGTCATCGGTTACTTCGCCGGAGGCTTCGTCCATGCGAAACCCTTTTCTGCGGGCGTAAGGAATCACCACATCGTGCAGGACCTCGTTATATCGTTTCACCAGTCCGGAGTATGCCGTCTTGAGCCTTGCAATCTCGCCTATTGAAGCCCTGCCATCGCTCCGAAGTTTGCGTGCTGCTCCGATCAGACTATTGGATCGATGTTTCTCTTTTTGTAGCTCTTCGTTGCGTTCTTGAAGGGCGTCATTGAGATGTTGAATAAGGGAAGCTGGGCTATCGTCAAGCGGGCGTTGGGTGTCATGTCTTGCGTTCGCGTTTCCACTTGTCTGGCTCCGGAGTAGCCTGTCCTGGCGATTCTCCGTTGACGAAGCTGGTCGCTTGTTATTGCCGCTCATGTAGTTAGTCTATGTTGAATCATTAGTATCAAGATAGTGACGCATTCGGCTGGATGTATTGTTCACCATGGATCCAACTGCTTTCTTCCCAAAGAGCAGCATGCGCCAGAGTAGTATGGATAGCTTGTAGGATGGGTGGTACAGGTAGAAGAGAATAGTGTATTCCAGCAAGATGTAGAAGAGTGTAGAGTTGGGCTAATATAGTTGTAGTTATGAGTGAGATTGACTCACTGAAGCTACGGATTGCCTTCACTATCCAACTTTACTTGGTAAGTCTGCATACAACAACTGTAGCAAAATCTGACTTTCTGGCATCTAGCATGATGGGCTGCAATAGAAAGACTGCCTTTACCTTTACTCTCTACCCTGTCTTTCCTCTGCAACGACTTCATGCGGGTATATAAACCTATCATCATCTACTGCTTTGCTTTCCTCAACTCCAACTTCAACTCTTCCTTGAAAACAATCATACCTTGGATCACCGGAGCTAACACGCATCATCATGGAGGGCAATCGGCTTGTGATAGGTCTCGACTATGGCACAACGTACACTGGTAAGTTCATACAAAACGCTACTGCGCCCGCGGACAAAGAACTAACGTAAGCAGGCGTATCTTTCTGTGAATCGAGCAAGGACAAGCAGGCAGATCACATTGAAGTGATTCACGACTGGCCGTCACAGAGCAGCAAGAACGCAACGCAGGAGAAAGTACCTAGCGAGGTCGCTTACCGTGAAGAAGGCATTTTGTGGGGTGCACTCATCCCAGCAGATGTTCCCCGGCACATGTGGACAAAGCTTCAACTTGATCCCCTTCAAGTCGGAGAAGTCACGAAGATCAACCGCGAAATTGCGACGTCCAAAGAGAATGCGAACAAGCAGCCCGACGACGTCATCACCGATTATCTCGCACAAGTCAAGGCACACCTACTCAAGAACTTGGACCAGAAGTATGGAAGGACTCTCTGGCGAACGATGCCAATCACACTAGTTGTCACGGTACCAGCTACATGGTCTGACCTAGCCAAATCACGTACACTGGGGGCTGTCAACAAAGCGGGCTTCAATACGCTAGAGTTTCCGCAACCGGTGACGACCATTCTGACCACCGAACCCGAGGCAGCTGCCATCTACACGATAAGAACTTTTCGTGGTAAGTCAAACCTCACACATGCGTTGGCTAACCCAGGAGTACTTCGCATGTGTTTCTAACACCATTTGATGCTGAAACACCATCTGAAGTACTCTTGGCCTATCTGAACAGACTCCCTTTTCTCACCTCTACGCTCATTCGCTGCAAAGATCTGGCTAACTATTTCATGAACAGGTACAACACAAGACGCTGAATTCGCCGTGGGTGATGGTTTCATTGTGTGCGATATGGGAGGAGGTACTGTGGATCTGTAAGGAAGCCCAAATGCGGATCACATGCGAGGCAAATACTGACTCTGGGTCCGACTTACAGCATCTCGTATAGGGTTACTGGCCTCAATCCAACTGTCATCGAGGAAGCCACAGTGGGATGTGGTGATCAATGCGGCGGCAGCTCTGTTGATCGTGCCTTCTTACGATGGCTTGAGGGTCGCATTGGAACGGAAGACTTCCACAAGATCGCCGGTTGCAGGAGTGAAGAGGTCAAATACACTTCGTTGGAGAAGAGAGCTGCTGCTATGCTCCAGCAGTTTACGTCCGGCCCTAAAGCAGGATTCACTGGAACCGAGTCGTACATTATGCCGTTGCCGTTCCCGTTAAGCAGGATCGAAGACGACGAATCTCGTGGAATCAGCGATGGAGAGATTACTGTCACGCCGTAAGTCCTTCCTTCTAGCCCAGACACACTGTTACTGACTTAAGAAGTGACGATATGGCGAGTATGTTCCAGAAGTCCCTCGCCGGCACATACAAGCTTGTCGCCAAGCAGTACGGAGCGGCTACTAATACCAAGAAGATCAAGATGAAGGCAAGTTCAAGAATCCTCATTGTAAACCTCTCACTTACCATACTAGTACATCTTCATGGTCGGTGGATTTTCTGAGTCCCCATACATGCGCAACAAGGTCACGGAATTTGCCAGCGAGTTCAAAATGGCAGCAAAAGTACCGAACTATCCGTAAGCATTAACAGAGTTCGATCTTTGGTTTGCGCTGACATATAATACAGTTGGTCCTCTGTCTCTCGAGGGGCAGTCGCTGTCGGTCTGGAAGCACAGAAGCCAGAGCAAGGAGTTGTCCAGAACCGGAAGTGTCGCAGATACTATGGCATACCTGCTACTACGTCGTTCGAGAGTGGAGAGCATCGGGAATCCGACGCCTACATCGACATGCACACCGGTGAAAAGAGGGCTAGAAATCAGGCCAGCTGGTTGCTCAGCAAAGGTCAGGATCTTGCAAGTACCACTCGGGCTCCACACACAACGATGTCCTTTTATACGAAGTTCTGGCCCCACGAGGCGAGAACACACAGAGTAAAACTTATCGCGACGAACTCCGATGAGGCCCCTCAACATTCCTATGACAAAGTAAGAACACAGCTGACCGTACTGTTCTTGTGCTAACATGTAATAGGGTGTGTTCTCCGTCGTAGTCCTTACGATCGAGTTGTCCAAAGTTCCCAAGAAGGAGTTCAAGGCCAAGCGATCTCCGGATAGGAGCCAATACCACGAGATCAGTTTCGACGTTGAGATCTCTATCCAGTCTGCTCTGCAGTTCTCTTGCTCAGTCAAAGGTAAGAACGTCGGCTCCATCACTGCGAAGTATGAGTAGCAGCCTACATTACACTTACCTGGAAACATATGCTTCTCATATGTGCAAAGTAGTTTTCACGGTTCCGACTTCTGGAATATGGCATTATTCTTTCTCAGCTTCACTTTCGCGTATGAACTCTCAAGATGGGGAAAAGGAAGAGAGAGTGCGGGTGCATTCTGGATAAAAGCGTAGCTCATCGGAGAGATTGGCTAAGTTAGCGTTGATTTCATTTTCTTCATTGCAGCAAATTCCGAACTTCTTCGATAGCTACACAGATAGCCGAAAAGCCACTTCCCTCAAACTCAAATGCACTCTAAACTCCCTCCTCCCCTCCCACCGTGCCACCACATCCTACCCACCACGCCACAACCACCCCATCACCCCCTCCAACCACGCCTCCCTCAGCAAACCCCCTTTCAACCCCTCAACAATCATCAAACCCCCACCAATCACCACCTGCCCCTCTGCCAAGCCCCCAAACTCTCTCGGCCCAACCGTCCCTTAGCACCACGCACTAAGTCACGTTACCTCCATCTCATGCGCGTCATCTCACCAACCATGCCCTTTCCAGCCATACAGCCGACGCAAAAAGTGGGGCCCAACGATCCCCAAGGCAATGAGTGTGAAACGGCGATCGTGGGAAGGGTTTAGGGTGCTGTGTGGCGTTTGAGCTTGACGGGCGGCGCGGTGGCTCGGATTAAACGCGAAGACGCGCGAATGTACGCGAGGCACGCGATGAGGGAAGCGAGGCGAGGGGCTGGGTAGCTTGGGTTGGGTCCGGCAGTGAAGGGAGGGGGGGTTGTGGTGCGAGTATGGGCTGGAGCGAACCGAACCATTACCAGTTTTTTCTTGCTGGGGCAAGCAGATGGGGGTTATGGTCGGAATAGTGTAACGTGTTTGCATAGATGGGAGTGTCTGGTAGGGAAACGGGATGGACTGCGGCTCGAGAGAAATGTATTCCACGGTCTTCACGACCTTTTTGTTGGACTGATCGACCTCTTCCCTACCAGACAAGACAACGACACGTTCATCCTGTCAGTCAACCGTCCCCAAACCTTCTCCATCCTCACTGCGCGATGCGAATGCAGCCCAACACGGAAACCACGAACCCAGCTAGCACAAGATCTCGTCCTCGTATCGCCGCAAGAGCATGGCCTGTGTTAAGTTAGGCACAAATTTGCCCGCACAAGAATCTCGTACCATTTTTCGTCAGCTGTGACGGGAAACCCCGGTGTGTTGCTACTGCACGGCATCGCCCGATGTCACCAGGCAGGTTTTCGCGGCTGTCGATCACTAGTTCAAGCGCGAGTCTGAGACTGGAAGTGCGCAATGAGATCTACGCTACACGTTCGCTTTCGCATGTGACGGTGGTAACGAGCCGAGTGGCCGCCTTTGTCTTCCAAATCTTTCAGGGCTTGCGCGCGCGCTGGTAGTGTATGTTGCGGCTGCAGGTACGGCATTGGGGGGTTGCGATGCGGAAGGCACGTCTCATCATCAGACGCATCACTCATAGGGATTCAGTGTGTAATTTTGAATTGTTTGTATTTTGAGTTCGGTGAGCGGTGTGTTTTTTTGATCTCAAGGAGGGTAGGGTTACTACTCTCTCCGTTGACAGTGTGATACCTAGTACCGTAGCGATGTATAAGAAAGGAACAAAAAGAAAGACGACATCATGCTGTCGTGATTAATGACTCCGTACCCAAATGCATAATGGCCTCGTCATAACACCATGCTGATAAAGAAAAGCGTGGGGACGACGACGTCCGAAAACCACGCGCAAACCGACCGTGTAAAAAGGATTGAGACAGCTAAGTCAAATACCCATCGAAAACTGAATGAACGAGACGGACGCGTGATGCGATACCTTCTCCAGCGTGTGCTTATTATGTGAACTCGACCTAGTCATCATATTTTCGACCAGGGGAATTCTTCCTCTGCCTCGTCCTCGCATGACAAAATCTTAATATCGGGCCAAAACTCGGGCAAGTCGATCACAAAATCTCGATATGGAGGAACTCGATCGCGGTCTTCCTAGACCTTATAATCCGTCTCCTGTTGGATCTTCTGATCCCATGGATCAACATTTTGATGATCGACGTACGAGGGTACCATGTTAAAGTTCATGGAGTTGTACACCTGTTGACCTGGGTGACCTTGGTGACCTGGATGACCTGGATGACCTGGGTGGAATGGCATCCGTGGTGGTTGTGCGAGAGCGGAGGGAGCGTACAAATTCATGCTATTTGGGTACGCTGGCAGAGGTGGGGGGTCAGAGCCCAAGTTGGTAGGCAGGATATAGCCAGAGTCTTCTCTCCTCCTCTTGTTGGAGTGCTCGTACTCGTAGGCGGAGTGGTCGATGGGTGCCTGTGTGGTCGGCTCTGGGTTTAAGGGTAGAGTGTACTCTTCCCTTCTTCTCTTGGACGACTGGAACTCGTAACTGGGGGCGATCTGTGCCTGGGAGGTAGGCTCTGAGTCTGCCTGAAACGAACGCTTGTTGTTCATCATCCCTCTAGCTTCTTTGCGCAACCTGAGTCGAACGCCCTGGTCGGAGAACGCTCGCGATAGATACGTCGACTCTTCGAGACCCTTGAAGTCTTTGGGAAGTACGACGTCGAACTTCTCACTAAGTACAGAGCCGAGGTTCTGTACCTCCCCACGTGAAGGGTGGAACTCGTACATGCTGAAACACAGTCTGAAGCTGCCCTGAATCCGGACAGAAATATCGCCGAAGACGAAGAAACCGCCGTCCTTGTTGTTCACATCCTTAAGACGATGCAGGGACGACACCAGTGTGCCGGCCATGGATTCATTGGGAGTGTGCTCGACGGGCTCATCTCTGTCCGCTTTGTACAGGGATGCACTGAGGAAGATGTAGGGGTTTTGTAAGAAGCTGTTCGAGGCGTCAACGCCATCCCGAAGGTTGAGCTGGAGAATGGGTGGAGGATCCACAGGCTTCCGGAACTTTTCCTTGCTCTTGACCGCGACCAGTGCCTCTTTAGGCTGCTGGCGGACGGACAGGTAACAGTTGTTCGGGCTCAAAGGCTCGGGGCCTTGACTTGCGACTGGTAGTGTGACAGGCATGTGCTGTTGATAGTAGGGCTGGTTATACTGCGGCGGCATCGGGTGGTGCGGATACATGGTTGGGATGTTCATGTTCATGGTCTGGCCCTCTGTAGCAGAGGTCGGCGGTCGTAATCGTGTTGTAAGGAACCCAAGGATCAAGTCTCAAAGACGCCCGAGAATGTGGAGGTGAGATGGAGTCGTCCGGTCGAAAAATACTGAGAACATAAGAGAATTTGGAAATTCGGCTAGCGACCTTTGAGAGAAATACGCGAAAGGTGACCAATCGAACAAAGGTTTGAGTCACTACGGAGTGCAGTGCCGCCCGAAGATGCTGCGTGACCAGTGACTGTAGTGGTAATGAGCGATGAAAATGCGAGTGGATCACCGTTCCATGGGTGGAGGACCCTTTTCGGAGAAAGTACCGTCAAAGCGCGGCTGCCTGCTCTGACTGTTCCAGTCCAGCACAGTCGATAATAATGCGTGTCCTCGTGTGGTATGCGCTGCCTTTCTCAAAATTGGAGGCACCTCTTGAAAGCGTCGATATCAGAATGGCGCGCGCGGGAGTGGATCTGGCGCTCGCCTTGCAACGGGACCGAACTAAAGGCCCGCCTGCGGAGAGAAGGTTGACTCCACCCTTGACCGTGACTTCCAACAGAAATAGGCGCAGATATAAGCAACAACGAAAAATGTGTACTGCGCCTGCGTCGCTCAGCACCTGCAGTGTGGAACCCGTAGAACACTGTACTTTCCGCACTGTCTCCGCAAGGCATAGCACCAGCTTGATGTCGAAGAGGAGTTTGCGATTGAACTGAGGTTACGCAGGTCTGGTACCGAACCGTGGTCGAGAGTGCCCTGGTGTGCTCCGAATATTACAACAAAGAGGGCCGTTTCCAACGGCTTCGAGGGTATTAGTGTCGTGCTGGTCGACCAGTCAAGCAGCGATGACGTGTCGGGGGGTAAGTCTAGGGTAATCTGGTAATATTATGGAATTAGAAGTGAAGGTCAGAGGAAGAGCGTCGAGGGCGACGACGTCGCAGTGCTCATGAAGGAAGACGCACAAGAGTAAGACACAAGATAGAAGAGCTGGCAAGGGTACCTCGAGGTAGTCGTCTCAATCGGGGCTCCTCTACACTCGTGCTTCCGTGGCGGCTTCGACGGTGATTCGTCGCTTCCCGTCTAGTCTCGAGTGCAACTGGTGCCGAGCGCGGCCGATCAGTGCTGTAGGGTCTCTCCGAGCTAGCGTGCTAAGAGATGAACGAGCGGCGGCGTGAATCATGCGAACAAGCTCTAGTGCAGCCAATCGAACGTCGCCTGGGCTTCTTTCTTCTTCTGTAGGCACGGTCGCTTTGGAAGCTAAGGTTTCTCGCTTGTTGACACAGGCCTGGTTGATTTTGCTCTTGCACCTCGTCGAGTCCGGAGAGGGCTGCAGTGTGGTTGATGCGTTCTGCAGATGACGTCGAGGGTACAATCGAAAACGACAGGACGGTATGCACTCAGCGAGATACCGGGTTCGCGATGGAAATGGGACCTTGTCCAGCCCGCTGGTGCATGTGTCAGCGCGCAAGGACGGCACGGCGGGACGAGGTACAAGAAGACAGGCTGGTCGCAGATGCTGTGCCGTAGTGCAGCGACTGTTCTATATGCTCAACAGCACTTTCGAATGAAGCCGAAGAGAGCCCAAGGGTCGTTTGGCGCTAGAATGCAGCAATAGCCCGTCCGCACTATGCTGCCAGAGCGAGGGTAACCCATGCAGCCGGATGGCAGAGCCTGGCTGCACAGACTGCGCGGCAGTAGAGCAAGGATAGCGAGACGGCTTGGATTCAACGGCAATCCCAGGTTTGGGGTTGGTAGGGCACTGTCCAAGGGCATCGAACGGGGGACCCGGTTGCATGCAACGGAAGAGCCCCATGTCTGTAGACACTCACAGAGACGCTCGGAATTTAGCCACTGCAACT